ACAAACTGCTACTGGCAGAATCTAATTTTTACATATATATTACTATTAATACTATTATTATTATTATTATTCAACAGGATTTATATAGCGCCAACAGTTTGCGCAGCGCTTTACAATATAAGAAAGAGATTAAAATTACAATACAATTCAAGACAAGATGGTAAGGAGGCCCCTGAGGGCTTACAATCTAAAAGATTCATTGGAATCCAGCCATACAGTATTTGAGATCATACAACCCTTAAGCCCTGATGAAGGTGGAGTGTCTAAACCCCCAAAAAGTGATGCTTTTCTTTGTATTGAACACTGAATAAAACATCACTGTGGACTCCTAAACTATTAGTTTGGTGCTCTGATGGCTTCTTGTGTATCTGGACTTTTTCCCCAGACCCGCTCTCCCTTTTGGGGGTCTTATGGTATATATAAGAAGCGTCACAGAAGCTTATCAGCTCAAGTAATGAGACGGTCCTTTACAATGCTGGATATTTGTGAGTTAGGATCTATTGCCTCACTTTGTACAGTATGTGTTTAAACGTTAGGGCAGGATAGTGTAATCATCGCCTTGATCAATAGTACCCATGATCAGGGCCGGATTTACTCTCTCTGCTGCCATAAAGCCGGGTTCCTCAATTGCCCCGAAGCAGGGCTAAATGTAGAAAAAAACTACCCGCCCGGCGGCTGTGCTGCCCTTCTATTCCCTGCTGCCCCAAGGTCGGGCTTCGGTGGCCTTGTGGGAAATCCGGCCCTGCCCATGATCTATCTTCTTTTCCTTTGGGCTTTGATCACATGCAATACACAAGCTTGATGATAGTCTTTGCCCACCGCTCACGGTAAAAAGACATAATTGAAGGTTTGTGGTCATGTGACCACCAGTGGAACCATAAGGCATTTCTGTTTTTGATTTTTTTTTTAAAGTCGGTAACTTAAAACGCTATTAAGCTGTTATTGAAGCGTCGTGGAGGACATTTGGTGCCCATTGCCTCCCCACAGACTCTAACACTATGAGGGTTAGTACTTTGTATATTATAACAGTCTAGGAAAAGCAGAGATTAAGTATGTTGACCTCAGAGTTACGCAGTACACCAAAGCTGATGTATTACAGTATGGCTGTTATAGGGCAAATCTGATGATATAATCCCCTGTAAGCAGATAGATTCATTAATGATGAACGTGAGCACTATGTTAATGCATGTCATTCATGCTGCAGAGGTCACTCAGTTCCAGGTATTTAGAGCTTACAAGTAACTTTAATTTTGAATACAAGCTGCTCCAGATTGTCGTTGTACCATCAGATCATTGTGATGATTATACCTCAAAACTTTCCGGTGAATTAACTTGTTAGAATATTTGCTAAAATTAGGACATTCTGAATAAATAAAACAGACTAACATATAAAAAGCACTTTAGTCCTGGATTGACTTCAAGGTTAAAGTGGTGTAGACAACCAATGCTTTCTTTTGCAGCAAAAGAAAACATATTTTTACCATCTCTTTAGCCTGGATAAAGAAAAAATATGTACAACACCTTACTACTTTCCTCTTAGTTGAGGAGCTTGATCTTCATTTCTGTCAAAATGTATCAAAGTGACGATAGAGGTCACTAGTGCACTAGTTACCGACCAGACTTCCCTTTTCCAGTTGTCACTTACAGCAAAACAGTTCGTATCTGGGAAATGCGGGTGAATGAAACCTACTTGGTTGATGACCCTTAATGAAGAACATTGGCAGATGCAAGATTTTTATATACTTTATTAGCAGTTTCAGTTGTTTCTTTTTATTGATCCTACAAAAAATTTAAGAGATATGATAACATTCTGCTGAAAGTAACCCTGAAGCTTATTCGGTCAATAAGGCACTGCAAAAAGCATTGTTGAGGGCCGGGTGTAGAGTTCAGGGTTTGCAACCTGACTTTCTGTTTTTAGGTCTGGGAACGATGAGAGCCAACTGGTGTCTATGAGTTTGAATTAAGATGGTCATCATGGGCAATATTGAATGTTTGGGACTGATGAGTGCCAACTTGTGTCTCTGGGTTTGAATTAAGCTGGTCATGGACATTATTGAATGTTGCGTCTGATGAGTGCTAACTGGTCCCTCTGAGTCTAATTATGCTGCACAGGGACAATAGTGAAGGTCAGCGGGTCTCTATGGGTTTGAATGAAGCTGGTCATGGACATTAGTAAAGGTTGGCACTAAGGAGTAACAACTGGTCTCTATTAGTTTGAATAAAGCTGGTTATGGACATAAATGAAGATAGGCACTGATGCGTAACAACTGGTCTCTAAATGGTTAATTATGCTGGTCATGGACATTAATGAAGGTCAGGTGTGATGAGTAACACCGGATCTCTTCGGGTTTGAATGAACCTGGTCATGGACATTAGAGAAAGTTGGGACTAATGAGTAACAAATGGTATCTATGAATCTGAATTAGGTTAACCATGAATATTAGTGAAGGGGACTGAGGGGTAACAACTGGTCTCTAGGAGTTTGAATTAAGCTGACCATGGACATTAATGAAGGTTGCTTATGCATATGTTATCAATCTGACCACCATATAATGTCTTTGAGGCCAGTTTCTCCTTTAAAAATAAATGTTCTGGTTGTGCAAGATGTTCCTTTTAAGAGCGGGAAAAGGTAATCACCTGAATATAGTCTTGGCAGCAGCTTGGGAGAAGAATACATGATCAGGCAAGACTTTCTAACTGCATGATCGCTTTGTCACCCAAGTATGATGGTCCATGGCAATCATGAGCTTCCAGACATTAAATTGGACAAAAAGGGAGATGATCGTCTCATGCCAATAGGCACCTTATGGACAACTGTGCAGCAATAAACAGAGAGGAAAACAAAGCTACATTTACAACAATGGCTTATATGGGCATATAATACCTTTTAAGGGTTAGTCCATCCAATACTAATATTTCAGTGGTAGGTTGATGCAGGAGAGTTAAACCATATGGCAGAACCAGGGAATTATTGCAGGGAGAGCCCACTGTTGGAGAATCCTAAATATATAGGAAGCCAGGGGCTGACTGAATCTACCAGACTCCACCTACATCTAACATATTACCTTCATATGGACGAATCTATATAATATTATTCATTTCCTAACTAGTGCGGACATGAGCTTTATGTCTGGAGTGTATGTATTTGGTAACAAGCTGTTTCTCTATGTACATTATTAAAGTCACTGGAATTGTTACTTAATATTTGACTGATGGAAAGATGTATAAATAGCAATAATAGTGACTTTGTTCTTATTTGATATGTAATATATTGATATGCTATGAATCTCTAACATGGATATTTTTTTTCATTTAAAAACAAATGTCAT